TACGCGGTCAGGACGGTTCGAGTAAGTGATATTTCGGAACAGAATCTAGTTCCTTCGATACCACTGTAATCTTGTAATATGATTTTTTCTGTGTTGGTGTTGTGTACTCAGGTGAATATGATATTTGTGATGTTACTCTGAGTGTGTATCCACACCAGGTGAGCTTGAAAAATATGCCCGGCCACGGTGGGATTCGAACCTACGACCTTTGGAATACTAGCCCAATGCTCTTCCAACTGAGCCACGCGGTCAGGACGGTTCGAGTAAGTGATATTTCGGAACAGAATCTAGTTCCTTCGATACCAATGTATTCTAGTAATATGAATTTTTTTTTCTGTGTTGGTGTAGTGTACTCAGGTGAATATGATATTTGTGGTGTTACTCTGAGTGTATATCCACACCGGGCGAGCTTGAAAAATATGCCCGGCCACGGTGGGATTCGAACCTACGACCTTTGGAATACTAGCCCAATGCTCTTCCAACTGAGCTACGCGGTCAGGACGGTTCGGGTAAGTGATATTTCGGAACAGAACCTAGTTCCTTCGATACCAATGTACTCTAGTAATATGAATTATTTTCTGTGTTGGTGTAGTGTACTCAGGTGAATATGATATTTGTGGTGTTACTCTGAGTGTATATCCACACCGGGCGAGCTTGAAAAATATGCCCGGCCACGGTGGGATTCGAACCTACGACCTTTGGAATACTAGCCCAATGCTCTTCCAACTGAGCTACGCGGTCAGGATGGTTCGAGTAAGTGATATTTCGGAACAGAACCTAGTTCCTTCGATACCAATGTATTCTAGTAATATGAATTTTTTTTTCTGTGTTGGTGTAGTGTACTCAGGTGAATATGATATTTGTGGTGTTACTCTAAGTGTATATCCACACCGGACGAGCTTGAAAAATATGCCCGGCCACGGTGGGATTCGAACCTACGACCTTTGGAATACTAGCCCAATGCTCTTCCAACTGAGCTACGCGGTCAGGACAGTTCGAGTAAGTGATATTTCGGAACAGTATCTAGTTCCTTCAATACCAATGTGTTCTTGTAATATGAATTTTTTTTTCTGTGTTGGTGTTGTGTACTCAGGTGAATAATATGTTTGCGATGTTACTCTGAGTGCATATCCACACCGGGCGAGCTTGAAAAATATGCCCGGCCACGGCAGGATTCGAACCTACGACCTTTGGAATACTGGCCCAATGCTCTTCCAACTGAGCTACGCGGTCAGGACGGTTCGAGTAAGTGATTTTTCGGAACAGAACCTAGTTCCTTCGATACCAATGTATTCTAGTAATATGAATTTTTTTCTGTGTTGGTGTAGTGTACTCAGGTGAATATGATATTTGTGGTGTTACTCTGAGTGTATATCCACACCGGGCGAGCTTGAAAAATATGCCCGGCAACGGTGGGATTCGAACCTACGACCTTTGGAATACTAGCCCAATGCTCTTCCAACTGAGCTACGCGGTCAGGACGGTTCGAGTAATTAATTTTTCGGAACAGAACCTAGTTCCTTCGATACCAATGTATTCTAGTAATATGAATTTTTTTATGTGTTGGTGTAGTGTACTCAGGTGAATATGATATTTGTGGTGTTACTCTGAGTGTATATCCACACCGGGCGAGCTTGAAAAATATGCCCGGCCACGGTGGGATTC